GTTAAAAAAAAAATGGTTGTACCGTTTCACAGTCTTTCCCAACGCACTTAGATGGATTCCCTGTGTTCTGACAAAAAATGTCCCATCAAGAGCCAGCATAGGTCGACATGCCTTAAACCCCGACAAACTCCCTTCAAAAGCAAAAAAAATACCTCTTAAAACTTCATTGATACTGGATCGACATCAAGATGGTACACGCTGCTCGGATTGCTACGCCCAAGCTCTTCAAAATACAAGGGCAAGTAAGAGTACGACGTCGTAGCGTCACCAAACACATGATGCTTCCCCGCGCAAGTGCCTTCCAAGCAACAAAATAGCTAATGTCAATGCCATAGTACAATTTGACATTGAGCACGACATCATTCGGGGCCATTTCAGGTTTGATTCTAACTGCATTCATGATCAAACCCGAAATTAAATCACATGTCAATCTATTTTTGCTCGATGAACCAAATGAAGCTCCGCACGTATGATGTTTTTCAAATGTCCTAATATAAAATAATCCGTTTGCCTTCTGTAGCGAGGCATGAATCCTCCACATACACTTCGTCATCACCCTGTATTTGCACTCTGCCGTAATCCTTGTAGGTTCATTCTTCACATAGTTAAATTCAAACCCAACTTCAACAGCGTATTTTCGCAATGCATCCCGGAAATCAACAACCCCGTTCCGAAATCCTTGCCTTATTTCCCTAATAAGATTTCTCCAATTGGTACTCAATAAATGTGTGTTATAAAATGTCAATGCATTCGGACGAACACACATGTCGTTACTCAGATAATTACCCATCGATTGAGTGAGGCAGATTGTGGTACCCTCGCCAACACTACTGCATTAACGTTGTCCTTGCGCTTCACAGTTATCTCAACACGGTCAAAACCTAGTTGTCGAACCAATGATTTCATATACATTACCTCATCCTTGTCACCTAGCATGCCCTCGCCATAACCATCAACAATGTATGTCATCGTAACATCCCTCGCATTCAAGCTGCACCACTTCTCTGTCATATATCCAACAAGGTCTTCATACACAAAATCAGCTCGGCATATCTTCACCCCAAACGACCCTCCGTACTTCAGAACAACCATCATGCTGGACAACATATTGTGCACCACTGAAGAAAAAAATGGCGAATATGACTGCTCAAACCTATAATATTCATCACAACTGCCTAAAAATAAGACTACTCTTGATTCAATTGTATAATATTAAGAACCTCACAAATTACTGTAAGAAAACACAAAAACGCAACAAAACAAAATGCGTAATCACTGCATAGTACATACAGAGCAATGTGAATACCTCTGTAAATCAGTATAAACTACAATCAGATACGACATATGCAATGTGACTACTCTGTAAATCGGTATAAAACAGAAATCAGATACAACATATACACGACAAACCCATATCAATCGGATCGGAACAAAACAACAATAAAAAATTGCGAATCAAAAACATCATAATCCTAATCTTAATTACAAATAAAATTAAATACTTCCCATTCATCGCTCACCTTTTTCCTCGCAACTTTTCTTCAACACCGCACATAACATAATATAGATGACGACTAGGCACTTCGATCTCGCCCAAAAATATATTTGATTGTGTCTGTTGAAATCACGCTGAAAATCAGTTGAAGATTATATTGAGGATATCACGTACCTCTACAAAAAAGGAAACGGTTATATAAATTTATTATTATTAAATATTTGATTTATTTTAATGACTGTTGTTAATGATAATTATATCTTATTCGATCTTAATAAGGGGGTCTCACTAATTGAAATTTAAATATAAGTATGAGAAAAAGTCTAAAAAGTCAAATGAATTTTTTACATAATATTTTACATTTTAGGGGAATTGTATATTTCCCCTTAATTTTTATTACGTGAATAAAATTAACTTATTTTGAAAAATTAAATACATAATTTTGGGTCGGAAAAAAATATGTGTTATTAAATGTGTATTGGGGTTTGACTGATTTCTATACTTTCATTTAACTTCAGTCCAGATTATAATTCAATTTAAAGGCCCATATCATATATTAGGAACTTTATGTATTAGAAATCTGTCAAAGCCCAAAAGACATTTCATATTTGTCGTACATATTTTGGATAGTCAATTATGTTCGTCTATCGCGTTCGTTAAATAAGATTTGTCAAATTCATTTGTTCTAAATCTAGTTGATTATCCTTGTTATGTACATTTCCTCTCGTTATGTACCTCCGTTTTTTCTTCTCTCTCTTTTTCTTCTTTTCGGTGACTTCTGAGTCAAACGCCACCTACTATGGTTGACATTTACTCTGAGATGGATTATCGAGTGATGACCGTTGTCTATAAATGGATATGGGTTTTCATTCTTTTGCATGGGGTAAAATCAGAGAGTTACGAATGGGTTCGAGGGAAATACCTGTGTCTCGACTTAAGTAAAAATTGCATAATCAAATAAGACGAGTTCGGGAAAAAAAAAATTGTTTGCAATTAATTACTCTAACAATAAATAAATAATGAGCTATAAAGAAACTTATAAAATTTGTTCTAGAGAGCTTTTTGCAAACACCTCCTTAGACTATTTTATTATTCCCTAATAAACCCCAATATTTTGTAGTTTTATTATTTCTCAAAAAGCCCCAAATCTGTGTTCCATGTTTGGTAAAGCTTAAGCTCTGTTCGTATTGTTTCGTGATTCCATGGCTACTAATTTCTGGACTTCGACTCACTAGTAAGTCTCAATTGAACGAACCCATTATCAATTCTTCAAATCTACCGTATTTTTTCCATATTTTTTTTAGCCAATTTTACTGTAATTCGTTGCGCTTTTTCCCTAATTAATTAATTAATTAATTAATTGTTTGAATCGGTTGATTTTGGTTTTGGTTGTGTAAATTCAGCAAACAGCTTCTAGACCCAGAAGATGTGGATGTGGTTCATCAACTCGATAAAGACAGAGGCATGACTCTTGAGGATTTCAAGCTCATCAAGCTGCACATGGCTAATTGTAATTATTATTTTTTTTTTCTGAATTTGTTTTGATTGGATAAATTATCGATCTGAATTTCGAGAAATTTATGATTTTTTTTTTTATTTAGCTTTATTATTTGGTGTTTATTGACTATATGTTATGATGATACGTTGGTTTGACCTGGTAATTTTTCTGCTGAGTGTTGTAGCTGATCTTGTATTGCATTTTTTGCTGTGTTTTTTGTATTTTTCGAAATCAGATATTGCAAGATTGGCTCAGAATGTGAAAGTTCGACAAAGGTGTGGATTCCGTTTTCTGTTTACATCTTCTCGTTCGATTAATTTAATCATTTTTGTTTCAATAGATCGATAATGATGATATATATTTGCACTTCCACCGATTTTTGAGATCCCTTACATGTATTTGCACTTCCACCGATTTTTGAGATCCCTTACGTGTTGATTAACTTCTTAGGGTTGTTGCTACTGCCATTACATACATGCGACGTGTTTTTGCCAGGTCAGATTAATCTGTATTTCCGGTGTTTTATAACAATTCGTATGCTTGAAATTCCCTTTCAAAATCTTCCGAGTATAAAAATATATAAACTGTTGATTTCTCAGGAGAAGTATGAGTGAATACGATCCTCGTTTGGTTGCTCCAGCATGCTTGTACTTGGCATCCAAAGCCGAAGAAAGCACAGTGCAGGCTAGACTTCTCGTATTTTACATCAAGAAATTATGTAAGCACAATTTATATAAATTGTGCTTTAACTTAAAATATAATATTCCCCTTTTTCGACCAATTATTTTCTTGGTTTGCATAATAAGTAGTAAGAGCTATCCTCTCCCCTTTGCAGATTCCGACGAAAAGTATCGGTATGAAATAAAAGAGATACTTGAAATGGAAATGTAAATTTTGGAAGTCCTCAACTATTATTTAGTCGTATTCCATCCTTATCGAGGCACTTTCTCAGTAAGTATCTTCAAATTACGGACATAATGTTTATAAAGATTCGACTCCAGACACAAAAGAATAGATGAATCACTTTTTTTTTTCTGGCAAATTTAGGCTGCTTCAGGACGCTGGCATGAACGATGCAACGCAACTAACTTGGTAAATCTTTATTATTAGCTTTTATCTTTATTATTTACGACATGGATATTTCGCTTTTTTAGCTGCGACGTTGCCTTTTATGGGTCGATAGAGGGATATGTTATGATGAAATATTTAGGTTTTGAATTCAATTTATCGATGTAGGGGACTCGTTAATGATACTTACAAGATGGATTTGATTCTTACATACCCTCCTCACTTGATTGCATTAGCTTGCTTATACATTGCAAGCGTGCAAAAGGATAAAGAAAACACCGCCTGGTTCGAAGAGCTTCGAGTTGATATGAATGTGGTGAGCTAAAAAAATTTTGGCGTAAAAAAATAATAATCATCTTAGATAATTTCAAAATTTTATGTGGTGAATAATCTGTGTTTTTTTTCCGATACGGCAGGTGAAAAACATTGCAATGGAGATATTAGATTTCTACGACAGCCACAAACTTATTACGGATGAAAGGGTGAACGCGGCCATGAACAAGGTAGCCAAATGATTATTACTTGCTTGTAAAAATCGATGGCTATCGTGTATTGATTATTATTAATTGGCATTGTATACATTTAGGCCATGTTCGGTAACTAGGATTATGCTTGATATGACTGTATAATCAAGCTCTATTCGAACGTTTCAAATCAATGAGATAAAAAAAAAGGCATGGATTGTAACGAAGCGTACGAAAGGGTATTTTAGTCCAGATTCAGCTCTTATTGTAATCATAAAATAATATCATTACGACGAACAATGTAATCATGTTCGATCTAATCAATCTCAACATTTTCCGAAACGGCAATGATTGTTGATCCTTGATTCATGACAACCTTAAACAGCACAAATAAGTAGAGCATTGATTTGATAGACAATCTTTTTTCGGTGATGAACTTTTTTCATCTTCTTACAAAGGGCTCGTAGTGAATTTAATGTCGGGGAATCGTGTTCTAATTCTTGCCCTTCTTAACCTGCTTTGCTGCAATATGACATGCATAAAGAAAGATGTAAGATGAATGCTTTGAAAAAATCAAAGTGAAATATCGAAAAGAGGGGGTGTAACGAATGGAGACCTAGTTTTCGTTTGGCCTCGGATTTTGCAAAGAAGTCCCTCCATTCATCAGTTAGTACAAAAATAGCTTCTTCTTCCTCTTCTTCTTCTTCTTCTTCTTCTTCTTCTACCTCCTCAACCTCATCCTGCTTCATTCTATTGACCAAAAAAATAATAGCAACAAAAATTAATAAATACATAAATAAATAAAAGAAATTCAATCGGCAACTAATTCACCGCAATATGATATGATATGAGAGAGAGAGAGAGAGAGAGAGAGAGAGAGAGAGAGAGAGAGAGAGAGAGAGAGAGAGAGAGAGAGAGAGAGAGAGAGAGAGAGAGAGAGAGAGAGCATAAATTAGAGCAGAAGATTAAGAAGGAAAAATTGAGGGTTTCAATTACAATTAGATCGCTTACGTGGAATCATGGAGTGATTGATTGAGCTGATTATCCAGAAAGCTTAAATTGGGGTTGGGTGGATTAATGGAAGCGGCGGGTTCTGGGTTTTGAGCGGCGGGATATGAGGTTGAGAAATAACACGACGGAGAGTGATTTTTTTGTTGCAGAATAGGGCGGTGGTGTGGGCAGTGAGGTGATACGTAAAAGAAATGGTGGTGGTGGTGGCGGCGGCCGCCGCCGTACTGCCGAAAGAGACACC